TGTTTTTTTTTTTATTAGCAAATTATGTCCTTCTAAACATAACTTTCCTTTGAAAGGCCCATGACTGAATCTCCTAAACTTACCGTGAGACTGGTGCTCCTGCCAGGAAGTGTTTTGGAGAAAGCAGCCTTTTCAGATGGGTGCTTTCTTGCATTTCCAAATGTGGCAGTTTCAGAAGGGAGCACATGAGGCAAGGACTAGTTTAAATATATTCTGAAGATTTCCCTGGGCTGTAAAAGTGCCTGAAATATTTACTGAGTGGAAAGTAAAAACCCACATGCAAGAAATCCATCTTGTCAGCCAACCAACCAATCCACAAGCATTTACGCAGCACTTACTATATGCCAGGCACTGTGCTACAAGCACATAAATACAAGCAGGAATAAAGTCCCTGACCTCAAGGAGCTTACATTCTAATGGGCGACGGGGAGACAGCAGCCTGGAAAAGAGCCATCCAATCAGAGGAAGAGGCTACAGTGGAAGAGGGTACTTCTAAAGAGTGAATTCCAGGTCTGGAGTGAGCTTCCAGGATGAAGAGGTTTCTGGGCCAGGGGAAAGAAAGGCCTGTGAGAGGCATTTTGGTATATATAAAGAGCCATGTCCTCAACTTAGAATCATGAGATAGCTGACTTTTGAATCCTGTCTCCAACCTGTATTAGCTGTGTGATAGTGGGCAAATCCCTTACCCTGCAGGACTCACCTGTAAGATGGTGCTACTGGTGGTCCCTGTCTCAGCAGCTTATGAAATGAGATAATGTGCTTTGTAAAATGTTAAGCTCTCTATAAATGTCAGCTGTTACTATTATTATTAATTGGAGAAATTATGAGTGCAGAAGACTGTCTGAACTATAAAAATTATCCATAAAGAAATAAAATTGAATTATTTTCAAATACCCACAGTGGCTTGAAAGAATGGCCACGCAGAGTTCTTCTAAAGATCCACTTCAATGAATAATGATAGCTGACATTTACACAGAACTTCAAAGTTTAAAAATTGCTTTACACACACATCTCATTTTATCCTTGCAACATTCTTATTGGGGGGGTAGATTCTATAGATATTTTTCATTTTCACTTTTCAGGACTCAGAGAGTTCAAGTGGTTTGCTTATGACCACACAGTAATGAGTCTGCTAGTACCAATCTAGAAAATGTTAGAGCTGAGATTCCAACCCAGATCTCCCTTGAGGCCAGGTCCACGACTTTCACTGTACTAGGCTGACTCTCTGTGAGTAGGTAAGAGTCTTTTGTAATTAGCACATCAATTGTTTGTGGCAAATATGTACTGCTAAAGTCCATTGAAGAATACTTGAAGGCATTTTTTTTTCCCAATGAAAGTCAATAGGCATTGACACATTTAATTCATACCTGTATGAAAATATACTAATGGTCAAGAGTTTCATCTCATTTTATATTAGATTTTATCCACATACAAAAAAATGAGATGAAACTCTTGACCACTAGTATATTAAGTTCTTCTTGGAGAAATAAGCAATCAACAGTATTTATTAAGTGCTAGGCACTATGGATATAAATATAAAGGTCAGACTGTGTCTTTCCTCAAGTAACTTATATCCTGAGTACTATCAGTGATAGGACAATGGGACTCCAGGGCAAAGGGTATATATCAGTTTGGACCAGTTAACTTTAGGGTCAAAATTTTGGAGGGAAGGGTAGGGGTGGGGGTGGGGTGTGACATGGCCTGGATAAAGAGGAAAGAATAGAGTGATTGGAGATTTCAGTGAGGATGGAGAACAGGTTTAAGTGGGTTGAAGCACAGAGGATTATGAAAGTTATGGTCAGGTAGAGAAATTTTAGAGTTACTGATTATGCAGTGCAACAATTGTAGGTTGACAACTCTATCACTGTCCCTGTGTGTGACTGAAGTGGAATGAAGGTTATCTTCATCATCATGAGAGTTATGGAGGTTGAGGAACTGGAAGGTAAAAGTATTAGAGAGGGAACCAATACATAAACTGAAGTCCCTAAGTAGAAGGGTGATCACTGAGGTGGATAGAAAGGGAGTGAGAAATTTCTTCCTGAACAATGAGCAAGATTGACTTTGGAAACAATAAATAACAGGATCTGGAATGGGTGCCATCTTTGGATGGTGTGAAACTCCATAGAGGAGAGGTTGCTGAATGAATGTGGTAATTTCAGAAAGGAGTAAAAAGTATTCCTATTTCTCCTCCTGGCTTAGTGTGTATTTATATAGGGAGGGGGTGAAGTGAGAAAAGGAATATCTAGGACTTGAGAAGAGGGCTAGGGATGCAATGTCTTCTGGGGAAGAACCATGAGGTTTAGTATGAAGTGCTGGCTTTTTCCCCTCAGTCCAGACTTGCTGAGATTCTACTATTATGGGAAACTCCCAGTATGGAAATACTCTCCACTAATGCAGATCAGCAGTTTCTTTGCAACTTAGAGTTTCAATAGAGCACTAAAAGTGCCTTGCAGATGGTCACACAGCTAATGTGTACAATTTGAAACCTGGTCTTGATTCCAAGGCTGATCCTGTATATGCTGCCATTCTGCTCCCCAAGACTAATATGAAAAAATTAAAGAGGCCATATAAAGTGGTTTATTTGACTTTGATAATATTGATCATATTCTATCTGTATCTTATTTGTATATATGCCTTATCCTCCTCCTCCCACTCCCATCAGACTGTAAGCATCTTAAAAGGCAGAGACTAAAAATTTACATCTTTTCATCCCCAATACTAAAGTACCATGCTTGGTACATAGTAGGATTTTAATAAGTGATTGTTGAATTGTAATTGCTAAACTCTGGTACAGCAATTCTGAGAAAGAAGAGACCAGTGTGGGTTGTAGAGATCAGGGAATGTTTCTTAGAGCAGGTAAAAGTTGAGCTGGGTTTTGAACTTGAGTAAACATTATTCCCCTGTGCAGTCTTGCTTAAACTACTAATTTACTTAGTATAGGGCCTTACATGTAGTGTGGCTTCAACAAGTCTTCACTAAGTGAATGAACTGATAAATCAACTAACCCACAGTTGAAAGTTCCACTTAAAGCTAGTGTGGTCCATATTAGCATTCAGTTTAGTGCCTTGGCATATTCAAGTAGGCTGATTAAGAACTTTTTTTTTGCATTGAATTTAATTTTGCTCTAGTTGAGAAGCTGAAAGGAGTTTATCCCTCAAGTTCAAGCGAAATTAACAGGCAAGGCAAGGGTTTGAAATACTTCCAAAGGAAAGCAGCTGCTTGTCTCACTAATGGGCTCTGCAAAGCTCTTTTCTGAGCCAAATCTAGATCAAAGACCAACTCTAGGAACTAACTTACGAAAAAGTCAAAGTATATCCAGTGGAGTAAAGACATTGATTTCTTGATCTTTCTCATATTGAGTTCTCGGCTTCTTCTTCTTTTTTCTGGGAACTGTTCAGGAACAGGGCCCTTTTATAGAAATGGGATAATCATGCCCTAACTTATCGGATAGATGTTTTAAAGTGAGGCACAGCTGTAAATAGAAAAGGTGATACAAAGGATGAAGGGTGGGGTATGATGGGAGAAATGCAAAGAGGACTGAGTGTTTAACTACGGCGTCAAAGTGTGTACTGCCTCCAAAATCTCTACTTCAAGCGCGGGATTTGCATTTAAATAATAGTTCTCCACAGGCATCTCGGCCCTTGCAAGCACTCATAAATTGGTGAATAGATCCCTTGTTACAGCAGAGAAAAAGCAGCCCCAGGTCCAAACGGAGAAATGCCAGCTGTAGCAGCTGGGAAAGCCAGAACCCAGCGCAGCATCCATGCAGAGAATTCGTGGACACGTCCTTCCCGAACCCACAACACCCCGTACTTCACTCCCCCAGAATGAAAGGTTGCAGAGTAGCAAAGTGCGAAACCCAGGCTCCCAGCTCCCACAGTGGGTTAGGGAACCAGAGAGGAAAGGAACTGACTGGAGGCAACCCCATGAGGCATATAAGTGGAAACAGCAGCCCTGCTATTTGCTACCTGTTTGGTGTAGGACGTGTCCTTTAACTCCCCTGGGTCTCATTTTCTTTATCTGACAAATGAAGGGGCTGGGCTCGGCGATCTCTAAGATCCATTCTAGTTGGAAATCTTTTGATTATAAGCATTCGCTCCACTACAGAGGCCAGAGACTCAGAAGTTGTGGAAAGCCGAGCGGGGTAGAAATAGGAGTGAGAAGAGCTGGAGGAAGCCAATTGGTGGCTGACCGACCCCTTCCCAGTCTATAACTTTGACTGAGACCGCAAAGGCCACCTTCTCTTCTCCTGTCCTTAACTGTCACCACCGAGTTCTGACTACCCCCTTTTAATGTTTCCCTACCTAGAGAACTTCGTGAAAAGTTTAGATAGACTTGGAAAGGACCTTAGAAATTCCTACTCCAACAACCCCACTTTACAGAGATGGAAACTGAAGTCCCAGGAGATAACTTGGTTGACTAGGGGTCGCAGGCTTTGTTAAACAGAACTGGAGCTTGAACTCAGCTCTTCTGCCTTCTTATGCAGGGCTCTTTCCACTACAGCAAAATACCGCAGCTCCCTTTACCACCCCTCTCACTTATTAGAGTGGGTAGAGGAACCTACCGCTACTCTCTCCTCCCTTCCCTTACTTGAGCTCTCGCTTTGAAAGCTATGGTGAAGACTTGAGTTGCCTCTTCTGAAAAACAAAAACAAAAACAAAAACAAAAACAAACAGACGAGCCAGTTCCCTCTGGCAATACAAAACCTCCTTTTTTTGGCGGGGGGGAGGGGGTTAGGATGCGGGTGGTGGGAATGTTGAAAGTGAAGGTAGGGAATGTGGACTGTTTTATCTAAACTTTCTGTTTGCCCCAGTCACAGTGCTCAACATACACTAGACAAAAGAAAACGTTTGTTGAATGAGTGAATGGATAGACGGATGTTATTGGTTGTGATGGTGAGGCTGAGAAGTAGGATGGAGCTTCGAGATGAGATGATGGAACAGACGGGTTTCCGCTCCCCCTTCCCAGACCTGAATAAATGGGAACGCGAGGGCTCTCACCTGGATGACGATCTTGACAGTGGAAGTATCTACAATGGTAGTACAGATGAGGCCGTTGGGGTCGCCATCTGGGCTGGCATTGAATTGGCCCATGGTGAAGAGCATGGGGATGGCGAGCAGGAAGGAGAGGAGCCAGATGCAGCTGATGAACTTCTTGGTTCGGCTTCTGGACATGATGCTCTTGGCCTTGAACGGGTGGCAGATAGCCATATAACGCTCCAAGCTGAGGCTGGCGATGTTGAGAGCGGTGGCGTAAGTGCAAGCATCTCGAAGGAAGTAGTAACCCCGACACACGGCGTCGCCGAAGGCCCAAGGGTGGTGGACCCAAATGAAGTTGTAGAGCTCGATGGGCATGGACAGAAGGAGGATGAGGAGGTCGGAGAGAGCCAGACTGGCCAGGTGGTAGTGGACGGTACTCTGCAGATTTTGCAGCGACTTCTTGCGGACCAGTGTGAAGGCAGTGACCGAGTTCCCCACAGTGCCCACCACGAAGAGCGTCAGGTAAACGGCAGTGACCAACACCTTAGAGTAGATGTCTGTGTTCACGTCCAGGTCAGTGTCTGGGGTGAGGAGCCGCTCTGAAGAGTTGGCACTGTTGTTGCTGTAACCCGGGGCCAGCAGTGCCCGGTCCCTCACTCCACCCTCCGACGGCTCCAAACTGAAAGAACCTGGTTCTGACTGGCTGGGGGGAGCGGGTGCCGTGCTGTTGAGGCGCATCCTGACCGGCGGGGTTGAGGGAGAGCTGGGCGTCCAACCTGGCAGGGAGGAGGATCAGGAGGCGGCCGCGGAGAGCCCAGCTTGCCCTGCCTCTCTGTATTCTAGCTACCGTTAGAGACCACCCCCTCCCCCTTACAAAAGCGTTCACTGTCAGAGGCTGGGGGCAACTGGCTGCGTCCAAAGGTGGGCAGGGGACAATACAAGGTACGGAGCCCGCAGGCAGCTCCCAGGCTCTACCCTCCTTTAGTATTTCCAGTAGAATAGTGCTGCCAAAAGCCCAGAGTCTTTGTCTGCCGTGAAGCGGGCTCGGGCGTTGGGCTCGCTTTCCTACTCCCAGGCTGTGGGTCCTGGGCTACGCCAGAGTCAGAGGTTCTCCTCTAGCCTCCCGGCTTCCCCAAGTAGCTCCGAGCTGGCTCCAGAGCGCCTCTGACAGCGACAGAAGCTCGCACAGAAACACACCCGACGCGCGTACTTACGTATACACACACACACACACACACAGTCCCCACCCTTTTGCGCACACACGGTGAGAGACGGACAGAGACAGAGACAGACAGAAACACACACACAGAGTGAGACAACGAGAGAGAAACAGAGAGACAGAAACATAGAGAGAAAGGAGAGAGAGATAGGGAGAGAGGAGAGAAAGATAGATGAGAGAGGACAGAGAGAAAGGAGAGGAGAGAGAGAAAGAAGAGAGAGAA